GCCGCGCAACAGTGTGGCCCGGCCGCGTGCCAGCTGCCACCAGGTCCTCGCGCTCGACGATGCTCGCGGCGGTCCCGACGATCCCGTAGCCGCCGAAGTCGCCCTCGTTCGAGCCCTCGGCGTCGGAAGAAAAGACCAGCGGCGCCACCGGGGCGTTGAGCACGCACTCCATCGACAGCACCAGGTGTGCCATGGCCTCCAGCTCTCGCCGAGCCGAGGGCCACCAGCTGATGACCTGGTTGGCGTGCTTCTCGATCATGCTGAAGATCGCGTGCGGGGCGGACATCAGCTCCCGCTTCAAGAGGGCGCCCCACAGCCAGGCGCCTACGACCGCTCTCAGTAGCTCCACGTCGATCCAGTCGACCTCCAGCAGCCACAGGCAGCTCTCGCGCAGCAGCCAGCCCTTGTGCGGGTCGAAACGTAGCGCGGGCGGCGACCTCTGCACGCGGTACCCCACGGCCTTCAAGTTGTCCTCGGCCTCGACCCGCTCGGTGACCAGAAACCCCTCGCGCTCCCAGCCGTCCGCGACCTGCTGCATCAGCTCGTCGCACTTCGGCTCCTCTGAAACGGGGCCCACAGTCAACGCCAAGCCGTCGTCGACGTGAACGTAGGCCGCCACGTCCTCGGGCCCCAAACTGTACTGACCCTTCTTGGAGTACTTCTCGTTCAGCATGACAAACTTCCCTCCTAACGGACCCTCTGCTTCTCGACTCCATTGGCTTGTGCGAGGCCGTGCTGTAGAAGGGCGTCTCCAACCCCCAGGTCCACCTGCTTCCAGACGCATCAGTGCAATAGTACGGGTAATACACCAACCGAAGAAACGGCACAGACCTGAGGGATAACTCTGAAGACGTCGTGACGCAAATACTCCCCGATCATTCTTACCTCGGACATTGTCGTGAGCATGGTTACCGTCACAGTGAAGCAAACCTTCGGATAGCCCAAGGAGGTTGCAAAGGAGACCTGTAGGTTTTTGGGCCGCCCCCCCGTACATGCACTGATCTAGAGTTTCAACCTGGGCCTGAGCACGTTCAGCTAAACCTTTCACCCCTTCGAGGGCGAAAACAGAAGGGAAGGGGATCTCGCCAGGGTCCGCGGGGTGCTCTAACAAAAAAGCCCCGCCCTGTAACAGAGCAGCCTCGCACAGACCTAAGAAGTTGAAAAGCAGAGCGTTTGCCTCTACTACTCGCATCCTCTCATGATTCTTCAGCGACGGCAGCCCCAGCAAGTGGTCGCGTCGTCGCAGCGGCGGGGGGCCGCCTGGCCGGTGCCTCAGCCTGCTCCAGGTGGCACAGGGCGGCCCTCCCAGCACCACATCCAGCAGGCCCTCGTTCGCCAGCTCGAGGAGCGCCGCGACGGTGTGTGGGTCGGTGAAGTCCCAGCGCGCGTCGAAAGCCAGGTCGACGCCAAAGAAGAAGACGGGTATGTCATGCTGCTGGCAGAAAGTCTCAACATGGTCCTGGATGTCACCCAGGCGGCGGCCTCCTGCAAAGATGTGGACCACTACCATGATCCTCTGAGCTGACCTCTTGAAGTAGCGCACCTTCTCGCAGAACTCTGCGACCGTGAAGCCCGACTCGAGTCGGTCCGCGCTGCGCCGGTTGCGCTGCAAGTCAACCCCCTCCTGGTCGTGTACCTCCACCTCGTCGGTCAAGTCCGCGTGCTTCGTGAAGTTGGCCAGCTCGGACTCGGCCAGCTTCCTGTTGAAATTCAGCGTCTCGCCCAAGCTCCGCACGTTGATCGACATCAGGATGTGCACAGAGTGGGAGCTCCCCATCGGCAGCCGCTGGTAGCACGGGTAAACCATCTCGTAGTCGGGGGCGTCCTTTAGCTCCGGCGGGAGCTGGCTGCGCACCAAGGCGGCGGGCAGCGCGGGAGTAGCCATCCAGGGCCACCACCACGACGGGGTCACGACCGACGAGAAGGCATTCGACTCGTCGCAGCGGGCGAGGTGCAGGGAGCCTTCCATCACGCGTATCTGAGAGAGAGCGCCTCCACCGCCTAGGCCATGGTCCTCTCGAGCACGGACATCACACCAAATGTAGTTCGCAGGGACCGCCATGACCAACTTTCTGAGCTTCTCGGGATCTTTCTTGGGGACCGCGCTGACGCCGTTGATGGCCTTAATGTCGGCGCGGCGCATGTAGGTCCATATGCGTGGTGGGAGGTCCTGGCGGCATAAGTACTTGGCCCACTCCTCCTGCGAGCCTCCCAAGAAACCGTAGTGCTGCTCCAGCTCCCGCAGCAGCTGCTCGCTCTTGCCGCTCCAATCCACCACGTTGCTCTCCTCAGCGTAGAACTGGGACTCCGCAATCGGCAGGGCCTCCAGCATGTCCACGGTCCGCTCGGTGGTCACCTCGTCGATGCGGTCCGCAATGAACGTAGCGTGCACCTGTCGCTTGCAGGTCCCCGAGTAGGTGACTTCGCTGAGTTTGAGCAGCTCGCTGATAGCTCGCACGCCTGTCACCATTCCTGGCCGGCGAGCGCTGACAAACTCCTGGGCCAACCTGATCGCCCTGAGTTGAGCTTGTCCTGCCGCTCCGTCGCTTGCTCTAAGATCTCGACGCTCGACGTTGCGGCTCGCCTGCTGCTTCAAGCCTCCAGCGTGAACTCGGTTCCAGGTCTCCAACACCTGGTTGGCCAGCTTGTGTATCTCTCGCCGCTTCGCCTCCCTCTGTCGTAGCCTGCCCGACGACGACGCTGGTCGTGTACTCGGCCAGGGCAGCAGGGGCAACGGGAGGAGGCCACGTCGCTCCTGAAGTAGGAGGTGAATGTCGGCAAGGTCGGGAAAGGGGCTGGTTCTCGCTATCGTCGGGCGAGAGGGCGGTGGTCGTGAGCACGTCCGCGGCCCGCTCTGGCATGCAGCTCCATCCCGATGTACTGGCACCCACGCGCCTCCGTCTCCTCGTCCACCTCGCAGCCGTAAAGTGATTCGCCTCGGAGGTGCCCCCGGCTGCCAAGGCACCTCCGTCCTCGGCGGGGGTCAATGGCTCGACTTGCCCTTGGGGGGAGCCCCCCCCTTGGGCGTGCCCTTCGAGCCCTTCAAGTCGCCCTTGTTGGCGTGCTGGCGTCGCCTGATCTCCGAGCTGATGCGTTCCTCGCGCTGGTGCTCCATCTTCGAGTGTGTCGTCGCCTCGGAGATCAGCCAGTTCGGTGCGATGTCCACCGCCGAGCCAGGCGCCACCACTGCGCGGAGACGCGCCGCGCCCACGCTGTCACGCGTGCGGCTCTCGTACACGTAGGCCGAGATATGACGCAGGGCGACCTCCACCTGATCGTCTGAGTTCAGCTTCGCGTAGAGGCTCACGTCGTCCTTGCAGTCGCCCAGCGCGAAGTCCACCGCGGTGGCCGTCGCCCACAGGGACTGCCATTCCTCGCCTCGCTTGGAGCCCACGTGTGGCTGAGTCAGCCAGTTCCTCACCGACGTAGACCCTGACGCTCTGATGTTCCGATAGATCTCGCCACCTGAGTCGGGCGGCAGGCTGTGGGCCCAGCCCTCGACGGAGGTCGAGGCCGCGAGCCCGCCACCCACGAAGCCGCCCGAGAACTGCACGGGCGCCGTCTCGAAGCCCCTCAGCACCGCCTTCACGCTGTCCACGTCCGGCGCCCCGATCGACGCCTCTCCCGAGTAGCCCCGCGCCACCAGCGCCGCCTTCACGCCCGCGTCCAGCAAGCCCGCCTGCTCGCGCTGGTGGACCCTCTGCCAGAAGCGCGCGCCCCACCACGGGTCGGTCGAGCTCGTGGCCGCGTAGCTCTCGAGCTCTGTCCTGATGGCGGCGGCGCAGGCGCTGGCCCCCGATGGGGGCGTGCTCGGGGCCGCCGCCGCGCCCGCCGGCTGACCTCCTGCGTCGGCGTCGCCGCCTGTGCCCGTTGCGGGTCCGCCTGGCACAGCCGCGCCGCTCGTGGTGGCCGGACCTGCACCGGCGGGGGCCCCGCCCTGGCTGCAAGAGATCGGTCCTCCGAGACATCTTCCAGCGCCGAAGGCGTGGAAGGCGGCGAGCCCGCCGTCTGGCGCCCCTGAGGGAGGCGCCTCCCACATCCCTGGCGCTGCGGCGGGCGGTGGCCCGATGGCGAAAGGCGGCGGGGGCGGCAAGCCGAGAGCCCCGCCCTCGCCCGCGCCAGCTGCGGGGCCGCTCGGCTCGCCACCTTCTGACGGGGCGGCAGGCGGCTCGAGCTTGGCGAGCTGTAGCGCGGCCAGCTGGTTCCGCAGGCGCTCCAGCTCGTCGCTGTCGTCCTGGCGACGGCAGCACCATCCCAGCAGGCCCGCGCGCCACAAGGTGAGGCCGCTCCCCGCAGAGCCCGCAAGGACGGCCAGCCCTAGACGTTGAACGGCAGCGCGGCCTGAGTCCGCCTTCAGGGCGCCGTCGGCAAGGAAGCAGACCGTCAGCAACGTCGCTCCTGCCCAGCCGAGCGCCCACCACCTGCTTGGGCCTCCTGGCGGCGATACAGGCCCCTCGGGCTCCGAGGGTGCTGGAGAAAGAACCATGTTCGTGCTACGCTGGGGGTCCCAAGCCCCAAAGACTTCGTTAGAAGGAAAACATGATGCCTGGGTGTTGAGCCCAGAAAAAACTACGAAGGGGGAGATCGCACTCACTTCACATTAAGTAACATTCAGAGACCTCATTCTCCAATCATCATCATCATCATCATCGTCGTCGTCGTCGTCGTCGCCGTCGTCGTCGTCGTCATCATCGTCATCATCATCATCATCATCATCATCATCATCATCATCATCATCATCATCATCATCATCATCATCATCATCATCATCGTCGTCACCATTTCCCCTGTTGTTCTCCTCCTCCCCGTCTTCGTCCCCTCCTCCTCCCCCTCTGCCTCCGCCTCCGCCTCCGCCTCCTCCTCCTCCTCCGCCTCCTCCTCCTCCTGCTCCTCCTCCTCCTTCCTCCCCCCCTCCCCTCATCTTCCCCCTCCCCTTCCGCCTCCCGCTCCCGATCTTCGCCCCATTTTCCCAGTGGCGCGTCGGGTGTCACGGCGGCCAGGCAAAGGACAGCGCCAAGCGGAACATGGACCTGATGGACCTGGGCCCCAGCTTTCGGCGTTCGGACTAGGAGGATCATGATGCGGAGGAAGAGGAGGAGAAGGAGGAGGAGGAGGAGGAGGAGGAGGAGGAGGAGGAGGACAAGGAGGAGGAGGAGGAGGAAGAGGAGGAGGAGGAGGCGGAGGAGGAGGAAGAGGAGGAGGAGGAGGAGGAGCAGGAGGAGGAGGACGGGAGGAGGAGGAGGAGGAGGAGGAGGAGGAGGAGGAGGGAGGAGGAGGAGGAGGAGGAGGGAGGAGGAGGAGGAGGAGGAGGAGGAGGAGGAGGATTCGAGCGGATTCGAGCGGGCCAAATCGGATTGCGACGCCATACGGCTTCGCGCCGAGGGAATTCTGGACGCTCCGGGTCGTCCCCGAGCCGATCCAGAACTCCAGGAAGCCCGGATGGGGGCTGCTCTTCGGCACCCGCTCGCACGCGCTGGATTCCAGCACAGTAGCTGATGAAAGGAGCCCCCCTCGCGCAGGACTGCGGTGCACGGCTACGCTTCTCACACTAGTTGATCTCGGCGTTGTAGCTGCGCCAGTGCGCTCGTGCCCCCACTGCTGACATGCCTGGCAGTCCTTGCTGCCACTGCCTGTCTTCCCCTTTCTTGCACGAGTTGATTCCAGCGTTGTAGCCAGTCTAGCTCGGGCGCCAGCTTCGCCTCCCACTCCTCGCAGTGTAACGGCGGATGGCTGGTGATATCGGGCTACATCTTCGTCCACATCGTAGTTGAGGGCGTTGGGCTCATGCTTCTCCTTCCACCTCCCGTTAAGTAGCGCTAGAGCCTGCTGCCAGTGCCCACCCTTGTCGCCGCCGCTTTGCACAGCGTAGTGGGCGACTAAGGCATCGGGCTCCAGCTTCGCCTTCCCCACCTCTAGAGTAGCGAGAAGGAGGGAATAGTTTGGGTGGCTCCAGCTTTGTGCCCTGATCCCAACGCTGTAGCTGATGACGTCGGGCTCGTCCGTCGCCTTCCACCTCTCGCTGCGCAGCGCCAGGGCCTGTTGCCAGTGCCCGCCCTTCTCGCACGCGCTGTGCTCAGCGCAGGTAGTGACCAACTCGGGCTCCAGCTTCGCCTCCGTCATGCCCTGATCCCAGCACTGTAGCTGATGACGTTGGGCTCGTGTCTTTGGCGTCCCTCTCTCGTTGAGGAGCGGCGCCCCCTTGTCGCACGCGCTGTAACCAGCGCTGCCGTCGGGCTCCAACTTCGCCTCCGCCCTCGACGGACCCTACATCCACTGCTATAGCTGATGGCGTGGGGCTCGTCCTTCATCTTCCCGCAGCGCCAGCGCCTGATGCCACTGCCCCGCCCCTTCTCTCGCACGAGCTGCTTTCAGCGCTGTCGCTGATCGTGGCCCACCCGCACTTTTCCTGCTGCGCCAGCGTTTGCTGCCACTGCGCGCCCTTATCGCATGTGCTGTGGTTGGCGCTGGTGCCTGCTAGATTTGCCTCCATCTTCGCCTCCCACTTCTCATATTGCCTGCTCTTCTCGCCTGTACAGCGCCTGCTGCCACTGCCCATGTTTTCGCACGTCCCGATGTCCGCACTGTGGCTGATGGCATTGGGCTCCGTGTGCGGTGGGTCGCAACGTCCAATCGTGACATCGAACTCCGCAGTGAGTGACGCTGGGGCCTGCTGCCACTGCTGCCACTGCTGCCACTGCGCCCTCGGAACGCGCCCATCGGGGTGTCGTCTGCGTCGCATTCTTGATGACACGGGGGCTGAGGAGACGAGAACCATGTCATCGTGCGCGTGTGCCGCCGACTTTCTTACTGTCGGCTCGCATCAACAATACAATTCCCAAGTTGGCTGATGCAACCCGCCCGCCCCCCCGAGAGGAATTTTTGAGGAGGAGGAAGAGTAGGACGAGGAGGAGGACGCAGATATGATGAGGAGGGCGAGGAGGAGGAGGAGGAGGATGAAGAGGAGGAGGATGAGGAGGAGGAGGGGGAAGAGGAGGAGAAGGATGACGAAGATGAAGAGGACGAGGAGGAAGAGAGGGAGGAGGAGGAGGATGAGGCGGGGGAGGAGGAGGAGGAGGCGGAGAAGGAGGAGGGGGATGATGATGATGATGATGCTGATGCTGATGATGAGGATGATGCTGATGATGCTGATGATGACGATGATGATGATGCTGATGCTGATGATGCTGATGCTGATGCTGATGATGCTGATGATGATGATGACGATGATGATGCTGCTGCTTACGATGATGAGTATTACGATGCTGACGATGATGACGATGATGATGACGATGATGGTGCCGATGTCGATGCTGATGCTGACGATGCTGATGATGATGATGATGATGATCATGATGATGCTGATGCTGATGATGATGATGCTGCTGATGATGATGATGCTGATGATGGTGATGATGATGCTGATGATGATGATGGTCATGATGACGACGATGATGATGATGATGATGATGATGATGATGATGATGATGATGATGGTGGTGATGATGCTGATGCTGATGATGATGCTGCTGCTGATGATGATGATGCTGCTGATTATGATGATGATGATGGTTATGATTATGATGATGCTGATGGTGATAGTGCTGATGATGATGATGCTGATGATGATGATGATGATGGTGATGATGATGCTGATGCTGATGCTGATGCTGATGATGATGATGACGATGCTGATGATGATGATGTTGATTATGATGATGATGATGCTGCTGATGATGATGCTGATGCTGATCATGATGATGATGATGATGATGTGATGACGATGATGATGATGATGATGGATCATGATGATGATGATGATGATGGATGATGCTGCTGCTGCTGATGATGGATGATGATGATGATGTGATGATGAGATGATGAGGATGATGATGATGAGATGATGATGAGATGAGATGATGATTATGATGACGATGATGATGATGATGATTGATGATGATGATCATGATGATGATGATGATGATGATGATTGATGATTGATGATGATGATGATGGCTGATGCTGATGATGGAGATGATGATGTGATGTATGATGATGATGATGATGATGATGAATGATGATGGAGATGATGATGATGATGATGGATGATTGATGATGATGATGATGATTGATGATGTGAGTGATGAGGATGATGATGATAGTGAGGACGATGGATGAGGAGGGAGGGGGATGCTGAGGAGGAGAAGGAGGAGGAGGTAGGAGGAGGAGGAGGAGGAGGAGGACGAGGAAGGAGGATTAGGAGTAGGAGGAGGAGGAGGAGGAGGAGGAGGAGGAGGAGGCAGGAGGAGGAGGAGGAGGAGGAGGAGGAGGAAGGAGGAGAGGGGGATACTGAGGAGGAGAGGAGAAGGAGAGGCGGAGGAGGCAGGAGAAGGAGGAGGAGGAGCAGGAGGAGGGCGGAGTAGGAGTGAGGAGGAGCGGAGGGGGATGAGGAGGAGGGGGCGGGAGTGCGGAGGAGGAGGAGGAAGGAGGAGGAGGGAGGAGGAGGAGGAGAGGAGGAGAGGAGCAAAGGAGGAGGAGGAGGAGGAGGAGGAGGAGGAGGAGGAGGAGGAGGAGGAGGCGAGGAGGAGAAGAGGGGGAGGAGGGGAAGGATGAGAAGGAGGAGGAGGAGGAGCATGAGGAGAAGCAAGTCGCGAACCGCCAGGCGGTTAAGGGGTGTCAGTGGCAGTGTGCCGACCGATGCGCCACGATTTCCCCACAATCCATCTTACAATCAACTTTTCATCCCCCTAACCCTTCACTTCTTACACTCCGTCCCAGGGACTCCTTCATCTCAGGTGCTCACAGGTGGTCCTCGACTTCCACAACAGGTACCGCCACGGCTACCTCGGCCAACCCTGCTTGGTACCGTCGGGGGCGAGAACGTGGAGCCGCTGCACGTCTGTTGCTACAAGTGGAATCAGCACGTTCACTACTTGCTCAACGTGGGCAGCATCAATTTCACGCTGCACAAGAACACCACGGCGCCCAGCAGCCATTTCGACATGCACCTCCTGCTCCAACCATGGTGACAGCCTGACGATCAACTGCGAGTGGATCGGGAACCGCGCCACCACCGTGGAGATCAGCAACGAGCCGATCGCGATCCAGAGCCACGACGCCGAGGCCCACTACGCCAGCCATTGGTGCAGGATCCCGGGCGTTGGACGAACCACAACTGGATGGACCAGTGGGCCAACAACCACCCAGACAAGTCCTGGAGCCAAAGCCGCAACGTGAAAGGCAACAAGCAGGGCGGCACATGGGGGGAACGACCACCAAGAGCCGGCCAGCCATAACCAGATGGCAAGGCGAACAAAAAGGGGAACACTGGCAACGATGATGATGATGAGGAGGAGGAGGAGGAGAAGGAGGAGGAGACGGAGGAGGAGGAGGATTAGCAGGAGGAGGAGGATGAGGAGGGGGATGAGGAGGAGGATGAGGAGGCGGAGGAGGAGTATGAGGAGGAAGAGGATGAGGAGGAGGAGGATGAGGAGGAGCAGGAGGAGGAGGAGGAGGGGGGAGGAGGAGGAGGAGGAAGGTTGAGGAGGAGGAGGAGGAGGAGGAGGAGGAGTAATACTAATACGAACAATACTAAGAACAACATTGATACTAAGATTAGTGGTAATCATAGTAATAATAGAGGAGGGGGAAGAGGAGGAGAAGGAGGAGGATGATGATGATGATGATGATGAGGAGGAGGCGGAGGAGGAGGAGGAGGAGGAGGAAAAAGGGGGAGGAGGGTGAGGAGGATAATGGGAAGAAGGAGGAGGAGGAGGTGGAGGAGGAGGAGGAGGAACATGAGGAGAAGCAAGCCGCGAACCGCCATGCGGTTAAGGGGTGTCAGTGGCAGTGTGCCGACCGGTGGGCCAGGATTTCCCCACAATCCATCTTACAATCAACTGTTCATCCCCCTGACACTTCACTTCTTGCACTCCGTCCGAGGGACTCCCTCATCTCAGGTTCTCACAGGTGGTCCTCGACTTCCACAACAGGTACCGCCACGGCTACCTCGGCCAACCCTGCTTGGTACCGTCGGGGGCGAGAACGTGGAGCCGCTGCACGTCTACGGCTACAAG